TTTCCGGGGGGGGGGGGCAAAATTTTTTTAGTAATGTTTTAATATAGTTTTAATTTACTGAAGCGTATTTGTATGGTGAACGAACGCACAGGACATCAGCTTAGTTACTTTCTCTTTATTTTCTCTTTACTTTAATAAAATAAATTTTTGTCTAAAATTTTTTTATCCAATCAATCCAGGGGGGGGGGGGGCAAGTGCCCCACCTTGCCCCTACCTGCGGGCGCCCATGCTATGGATCAATTACAACCAAATTACAAACATGCCATGGTATTCACAGCTGACCAAGAGACCGTGTCTGCGGATTACCTGGAGGCATGTTCAAAAATGTTTCATGGGCTGAGATAAGCCAACGTAAAATTATTAGCCTACGAGATGGCCGTGGTTAACAAAATAGAAGTACCGTAATGGTGGCATAATAAGAAAGCTGCTGGTAAAGATTGGTTTTATGGCTTTCGGCAGAGGCATCCTCAATCATCACTCCAAACGGAGTCAACTTCAATGTCATGAGCCACCGCCTTTAACCCACACAACATTGAGATATTTTTTTTTTTAATCTAGAGGCAGCCATTTCTGCAAATAATTTGTGCGGTGTACAAATTTACAATTTAGATGAGAAGGGATTAACTACCGTACAAAGAGCTCAAAAAATTCTTGTCCCTCATTGCTTAAAATTTAAAACAGATTGGACAAGTGGCTTCTAGAGAGAGAGGTGAGTCTGTGACGATGTGGGCCATAGTTTGCAGTGGCGTAGCGAGGGTGTTTGGCGCCCGGGGACAAGATTCATTTTTATCGCCCATTTTTATATCTTTCAACTCTCAAACCCATTATTTTCATCAATAAAATATTATCAGAGCACATTTTGGCGCCCCTAACTAGCTGGCGCCCGGGGACATCTGTCCCCCCTGGACCCACCACGCTACGCCTCTGATAGTTTGTGCATCAGGTCAGCAGTTCTTACCCCATGTCTTGGTTTTTCCAAGGAAGAAATTTAGAAACTGTTTTCATTACGGTGCCGAGGACATATGGAGGAAAAGAACTACACAATCAGATACATAAACTTGTGACTAAAATCTGGCAAGAAGAGAAAATCCCGACAGAGTGGGAAAAAGCATTAATAACCCCAATACACAAGAAAGGCTCCAAACTTCAGTGCACAAACTACAGAGAAATTTCCCTATTTAATGTTACATACAAAATACTGACGAAGCTTATTGCCAAAAGACTACAACCTTACACTGAAGAAATACTAGGTGATTACCAATGTGGATTCAGGCCTAACAGATCGACGGCTGATCAGATTTTCACCATCAGATGCCTATTAGAGAAATGCTATGAATATAATATACCAGTTCATCAACTCTATGTAGACTATAAAATGGCCTATGACAGCATCAAAAGAAAGTATCTATATGAGATTTTGCAGGAGTTTGGGATACCCAACAAACTGACAAGACTAATACATGTAAAACTAAACAACTCAAAAAGCAAAATCAAGATTCGAGGAGAATATTCAAGGGAATTTCATATTAGACGAGGCCTAAGACAGGGAGACTCACTGTCTTGTATGCTTTTTACAAAATTACAAAAGACTGTGTCAACTAGGACTAAAGATGTTTTATTTTTCTTTAAAGAAAACCTGAGTCCTTTAAATGTTAAATAAATCTGTGTTTTTTGTTTTGCTGTAATAACATTTTGTCTACATCTTTCTGTACAATAAATATACGTTAAAACGTTAAATGGTGTTGCTTATTATCTTTTTACTTTTCATATTGTACGGTTCGTAACAACACAACAAAGATAAAATTATTAGAAAATAGGTGAAGATATTTGTTTTTTAACCACTTTTTAGTTAGCTGACCATTACTCCCAACATGGTGGTCAATTTCTCCCCTCGCTATGTCCATTTTTCCTCACCTACATAGTCACCAGTTTCTTTTGAATTGTACACAAACTTTGACATTTCTGTAGATACAAATGAAGTTTTGACGTCCACGTTTAATAGGCCAGATTTTATGGGTTTAATTTGTTAACACCAGCTGCATTCGTTGACTGATGTCCATTTGGTGGCACGCTTCTCCCGACTCATCCCCATCTGTTTGTGATAAGGCAAATGATTTGTATGTATCTGAATATTGTTTTAATTGGCAACAAAAAGATGGATATTTAAAGTTTCACAACAAGGGGGATATGTGAACAAGGCTACATGTGGCGCACCAGGCCCGTCGACAGAAATTTCGGGCCCCTCGGCAGGGCTGTCACGGGCCCCCCGAGGTCTGAGCCTCTAAACTATCTTTAGGCTTTATGAGAATTTAAAAAAAAACTTGACAGAGCGTGTGGGCGCGTTCAAAATAGAGACCGGCACGGGCCGAATTTACCAAGCCCGGTCTCTCTGGTCGTGTCACGTGTGACTCGTGTTCAAAAATTGATGTTTATTTCAGCAGAAGAAAGTACTAAGACGACGGATTGACGGAATTGCATAAAAATGATAATATGGTAAATAAGTACGGCAATATTCAGGATGCTTGAAGTTTAATCTGATTGTAATTAAGTTTAGTTAAGTTATATTTACAAAAGCATAAGTAATACGTTTTTTATAGCTGATCATAATATTTTCAAAAGTTGATTGGTGGCCCGGGTCGGGCCG